CTTTCTCTGGCTGGGGCCTGCCGCGGGCGACCCAGCCGCAGGCTGGGGAATGTCTCCCCCACTCTTGGCTGCAGCTGCTAGGAGTGAATGGCCCGGCCATGGGGTTCCCGCTCCCTTTCCAGGTTTTCCATTGAAGTGGGTCTGTTTCCATCAGCCCTTTGTTGACCCTTTGCAACCCCACCCCCAACCACCGAGAACAGTGTGTTAACCCTTTGCACTCCTGCACAGAGCAGCACATAGCCCAGAGGGAAACTGAGGCACCTCTTGGCTGCAGCTGCTAGGAGTGAATGGCCCGGCCATGGGGTTCCCGCTCCCTTTCCAGGTTTTCCATTGAAGTGGGTCTGTTTCCATCAGCCCTTTGTTGACCCTTTGCAACCCCACCCCCAACCACCGAGAACAGTGTGTTAACCCTTTGCACTCCTGCACAGAGCAGCACATAGCCCAGAGGGAAACTGAGGCACCGGAAGGTCTCATAAACCGAGTACCAAAATTCCGACTGGGTCATAAGGGGCCAGGAGAGGAATGGGGGCACGGGGGCTGGTCTCATAAAGCCGCAGGGCATATGCCCTGGTTTGTCCCCTGTCCCTCAGAGGAGCCCCCTCAGGGAGCAGACCGGCTGAGCGTCCTGCCCTTCCTTAAGGGTGGGTCATGAGGCCTCCCAGCCTCTGGGCATCCCTGGGGGTCCCCGGCTCCTGGCTGGCAACCCGCCCGCTCTTCGTGCCAGAGTGCTTCTCCGTGCAGCCCCGCCCGCGCGTGCAGCCCAACTAGCCGAGGGCTGTATTCGCCCGCCCGCCCGTGGGGCGCTCCCGGGCTGTGCAGCCCCCCCAGGTGTTGCCGGGCCAGAGTCCTGGCTTTTGGAGGTACAACCTGTATCTCAGAGCGTCAGCACCTCATTGCAGGGGGGCTCAGAGCAGCTGTGGGGGAGGAGGGCTCAGGTAGGAGGGGGAGGCAGAGACCAGCAGGGGAAGTGTGTGTGAGGCAGAAGGGGACTGAGGGGGAGGTGTGAGACATAAGCCAATGGGGGGAACTAGGGTAAGAGAGGAAGCTGAAGGTGAAGGTGGAGGCAGGGAGTAGGAGGGGGGCTGAGGCCAGCAGGGG